TTGCTATTGCTATTGCTATTGCTATTGCTTCATCTCCCGGAGCTCCTCGGTGAACCAAGGAGGCCTCCGGGATCCGCCGCCTCGGAGGGGCCGTAGTGGCGCAATCCAGTCAAGGGTCTCCGATGCTGCCGAGGGCCAGGCAGCAACCAGAGTCTCCACCGGACTGTGGGCGAGAGTGTCAGGAATAACCCCAAGCTCTGTCTGGAACCTCAGAGGCTCCATGAGTCGCCTGGGGCGGAACCACCTGGTCGGTTCCTCCTCCCTACAGTGGGGGTTTGGTCTTCATTATCACCATAAACATAATATAATGTAGACTTCCTTTTTCTGTAACATCTGCATATGGTTGTATACTATTCAAATAAATAGAACTTTTAAAAGTGTATTGTAAAAGTTTGTATTGTAACCACAGTATTCAGGTGAAACACTAGTCATCAAGAACTAGTCTTAGTGATTTTAAAAAAAGGAAACATAACATTTAAATTTAAATTCTGTGTATCTGTGATAATGGACAAGTAAAAACTAAATTACTCTTAGTTATTTCTGATGTACGAATTTTAAATTATTTCTAATTTAAATACATACGTACATACATATGTAGAATGTACGTTTCTTAAATTTAGTATTGATCTTTACTGAATTTATTTTCAAAAGTTGGGAATGAAATTTAACCATTTAAAATATTAAGGGAATATATTTTCAAGTACTGTGGTTTGCATGAAACAAATCATTGCTTTCCTTTGGAACATGTAAACTGTTGTTGAAATTGTAGGTCTGTTCACAACCATCAGTGTAATAAAACCCATTGATTATAAGTATATTTATTTCCAAGTAAAAATGCATGGTATTTTACTTTGTACAATCCTCACCTTCCATACATATTATAACTGGAAGATTTTAAAAAAAACCTTTATGTTTGAAAATAGAACTCCAAACTGCAAAACCATCAGTGTTTTTCTAAAGTTAGTGAGGTGAAACTTTCAGAGCAAATGTTAACTTTTTCGCACTAAACATTGCATATGCTCTTGAAGGTGTCTGAATTAAAAAGTTGCAACACAGCTCTAAAGTTTTTCACATTCACAATTTCACATTTCAGATGCAAATCACATGGAGGTTAATTTTGGGTTCATCACAAAGTAACTTTAAGACCTTTAGCACTATATCTGTTCTCACAAGGTGACAAGTGTACTTAATTTTTCAAGCCTGAAGTAGAATCTTCTTTGCAACCTAAATTATCTCTCTAAATTGTTATTTCCTTGGTAACAAGCTGATTTTTTCCCCTATTTTCGCAGTTTTACTTTTTCACACCTACTTTTATTAAAGAAGCATTTTCACTCACCTATTTTTGCAAGAGAAGCCAAGAGAATCCAAAGTGTAACTTCGTATGGTATTTGCACATATTCATAGTCCAAGGTGAAAATATGTAGCCTTTCATCTCGTCCTGATTCTGTAGCATCAAAGGGGTCAGCTTTCAATAAAGCACTAGAATTTGCATGAGAATGTTGCAAAGTCAGGTCTCCAGCAGCAAAATAACTATCTAGATTGGATAGCAGCAACAAGCAGCTAAAAATATCTGGACACCCAAATATCTTAACAGCCATGATGAGAAGAATTCTATGTGTGGGATGTCTTCAAGGCTGAAATCTTAAACTTGCTTTATCTTGTTAAATTCCCATTTTAAGTCAGAGTCTTTAGGATTGTTCCAGCTTTATATAGGCTTCCCTGTCTTGTTGCTCAGTCTTCTCAAACTCATTCTTGTAAATTGAATTTAGAAAGACAAGACTTTTTCAATATTTCACAATGTTCTGCTGCCACAGCTTTCAATTGAAGCCTTTCACTCCATTTGGAAGGAAATAAAAAAATACAATTTTATGGCTAGTGGTACAATTATTGGTCCGAGTCTACTACAACATAATCCACCAGACTTTCTGAGTTACAAAGAATCCAGAAACAGAAATATTTGACAGATCCACCTCCAACAGGGTTTTTTCCAGGTTTACTTACAGTGAATCATTTCTGGGTTTGTAGCAGAAACACATCAAATGTTATGTTAGAGACACCTAATGGAAATAACAAGACTTGCAGCCATGACTTTACTGGAAGACACCAGGATGTGGTTGGGATTATCAAACGATCACTTTTACTTGTTTCTTTGTTTTGTTTATTTATTTGTTTTGTTGCTTTTTTATTGCCTCAATTGGTTGCAATCTAAACAACGTACAATATTAAACTTTGAAAAAAGAGTACATTTTCATTACAGTATACAATAATAACATATAAATGGCTTCATTGCACAAACAAACATACATTTGGGTGCTGGTAGATATTTTAACAGTAACACAGTGGGAAGGGATCTTAGAGGTCATCTAGTCCAACTCCCTGCTCACACAGGAGACCTATACTAAGGATTCGACCTGCCGACCTTTCTGATAGACAAGCTCAGCATCTTAGATAGCTATAATCTTCAATGCATTTTACAAAAACCAAGGACTTTATAGATAATAGCCAAAACCTGGAACTGTATCTGGAAACAAATCATAGGCCATGGTAACATAGGTGTTACATTATGCAGGTAGTCCTCAAGTTATGACCACAATTGAATCCAAAATTTATTTTGCTAAGTGAAACATTTGTTAAGTGAGTTTTGCTCCATTTTATGACTTTTCTTGCCACAGTTGTTGTGAATCATTTGCTAAGGTAGTAACATGGTTGTTAGGTGAATCTGACTTCCGCATTGACTTTACTCATCAGAAAGTCACAAAAGGGGACCACATGACCCATCATACACATGAACCAGTTGCTAAGCATCTGAATTTTTAACATGTGACTATGGGGATGCTCTATCAATCACGTGAAAAATGGCCATAAATCACTTTATTCAGTGCCATCGTAGTGTTGAATGACCACTCAATGAACTGTTGTATGCTATGCTGCCCATAGCTGGTCATTTTCTACTTCTCCGAATGAATGATAAAAAAAAAACCTAATGCATTTTTTTATGTCATCCTTTGTATGTATGGGTGAATGTCACTTTAAATTACATTACAGCCAGGAGCACATTTAAAAGGATACATCTGAGTCAAGCAGACCCATCACATCCAAATGAATAGCATGTCTATAAATAAATGTGGCATAAACAGTACATTTCCATTTAACATTACACAATACTGCATTAAATAATTATATTAATTTTTGTAAAATACTAAATACACAGTCATTAAAATGCAAACCCATAATGATCATCAATTGACCTAGTACAGGGGTGTCAAACTCCCATCATCATGGCGGTGTCACGTGACGTATCAGGACTTCCCGCCCTTCACTAAACCAGACATGGGCATGGCCAGCGTGTGACGAAGCTGGGAGTTTGACAGCCCTGACCTAGTAGTTTACAGAGCCCACTTAGAGATGAGTGAATCTGTCCATTTTGGCTTTTCCATCCATAGTATGCTTGTCATTTTTCTATGGATAAATGTTGTTCTTCCTGTTTCCATATTAAAATCATCTTGCTTCACAGTTGTAAATGAAATGCATATTTTTCTGTTCCAACAAATTGTGCATTACTTTCTCCAATAGGCATTTGGGATTATGGGAGGGGTTTTTTTTTGTTTGTTTAATGGGCTTTATTAAAAAAAACAATTGGTAAAACGGATGGCAACATTCACAGAAGTACAACTTTCAGAGTTTCAATTGAAAGCAGTCATATTATAAATAAAATGCAAATGAATCTTTCTCAAATTCCCAACTCTACCATCCAATAACCATTTATACTGGTGGAGAGTTTTGAACTACTGAGCGATGACATCTACCGCATTATACCCTACTTGCTCATCCTTTGTTTCTCATTTTCCTTTACCAACACCAACGGTTGCTGATGGGAAATGAAGGCCACTTGTCAATGGCACTGTTGCTGTGTTTCACAGGCAAGTGATACCGTAATTTTTTCCAGAACTGCTTATTAGCTGAAGGAGAGGTAGATGTTCTCCAAGTCACTCTAGGCAAAATCCTGAGGGCTTTCTTCACCTTAGGAGATAATGAAGGTGGCTCCTGAAAAGTATCAACCTGTATTAGGATGGGTTTCATTGTCTTATCTTCCAAGGCAGTGTTGATTGCTGCTTCAAGTTCAAAGAGAGCCTGGCTATTCTTAGCAAAGTTTGGACTCAAAATGACGATGACCCGTCTGCTCTTTTTCATGGCACCAACAATGTCATCAGTGTAGGCTGGCAAAAGAGAGCATGATTAATAACGTACTTTATTTCTTTTTTCATGTCTTTGAAACTATGCCTGAAAACTAGAGGTATAAAGCAGTATAAAAGTCAACCAAAACAATAAATTCTGAAAAAGCAAGCGAATTAAATCCAAGAAGTTAAAAAAAATAAATGAAACTCTTCCTTCTTTGCAGTTCATCTACTGTCTCTAGGTCAGGAATCAGTCAGTGTTTTTTGTATTTTCCACTGACCAATACTGTCAGTGACTTTTACAGAATCGCTGTATTTTATTCAAACAGGTCAAGTCTTAGTAAACATGATTTGGGTTTGGGTAGTCCTTGACTTACGACCAAAATCGAGGCCAACATTTATGTTGCTAATTGAGACAATTGTGAAGTGAGTTTTGCCCCATTTTATGACCTTTCTTGCACACTTGTCAAGTGAATCAATGCAGTTGTTAAGTTACTAACATGGTTGTTAAGTGAACCTGGCCGCAAAAGGTGATCACATGACCCCGAGACACTGCCACTGTCATAAATACGAATCCATTTCCAAGCCTCTGAATTTTGATCTCGTGATCATGGAGCTGCTACAATGGTCGGTAAGTGTGAAAAACAATCATACGTCACTTTTTTCAGTGCCACTTCTAACTTCAAACGAACACTAAATGAAATGTTGTAAGTCGAGGACTGCCTGTACTTTCAAATGATGCTTTGTTAAACCAGTGTTTCTCAACCTTGGCAAGTTGAAGATGTCCGGACTTCAACTCCCAGAATTCCCCA